GCTAGTACAACAAGAAATACAAGGTATGACTTCATGGCTTGTCCGTCTTGAGCAGGTAACTACCTAGCCACATGTTTCCATATATTCCTTTGACTCAGATATTTCACCTGGGGAGGAGTTAAAAAAAAAGATTTTAAAAAAAGGAAAAAAACACAAAACACCACTCAAAGGAGCCTTTACAATCTTACCTCAGAAGCATCTGACAGACTTTGCAAGACGTCACACGGCTGAAGGTGTGCATTTTGAACTCGTGGTAGCTCGTATCCGCATAGTCTGGCCGGATATTTGACCTGAAAAGAATATTTTAAAATCTGCTTTAAACAAATAAAATCTAGAACACGATGCAACATTCACAGCAGGAAATCTGAATCCACAAGTAACTAGTTTGATTTACATTTTAATGTTTTTCACTGAGATGAACCAGAAGTATCGACTTGACCACACACCTTGAAATGAAATCTGAACAATGATATTATGCCGACCAATTTCTTAAATACACCTTGTAACTACCATAACTGTCACAATACATAGAAAACCATAAATCAAATCAAACATCATCTTTTATTTTTTTTTTTTTTACTCCTGTTTAAGCAACCAGGATCATTTTATGGACTTAAGAACGCTCACTTTTTCATTCCCAAATATTTTGTTATGTGGATGTACACGAAAAACCAGTTCATACCCTAAGAACCACTAACTTTTAAAACATTAGCAGCAAAATATGGACAATTAGGTCATAACTACGCAGCAATATAGCGGACAATACAAGTGTTTCCAAAAGCAATTAGCAAATACTCACTGTGGTTTGGCTAGTCCTCCTTAAATGTGTAGCCCAATGCCTACAGCTGCTGCTACACACAAATTTAACAAATAAAATAGAAGACCACTATTCATACTGCTAAGATCCCAACACACTATTAGCAGCCTTATTTCCCAAGATCAAATTTATGTTCAAAGCACTGGTCTATTACTGTACATGTGTTTTGTTTATCCTCCCTACTGATCTCTTTTAAAAGCAGGAGTATAATTTTAAAATGACCCACTCAGCATTTTGTTGCACTGGTGACTGTTTGCAGGCTTATTTATATTTTATTAAGTAAACTATTCCATTTTTTTTCTGTCATCTTCCCTATTTTCAAGACTGAGGGGGAAAACAGGCATTTTCAATGGATTTATCTTCTTGTTTTAATTCAATAGCAACTCCCAAACTAGCTTAATATTGTGAAAACCAGCAATGTTGAAATGCTAGGTGCATAATTTAATATTAATGATTAATCTGGACTTGATGAGACAAGAAAAAATATATAGAGTAAGGGTTAATGTATAGTTAAATAATATTTACATTAGAATGCTTAAGAGTCCATAAATTTCTGGTATTTTTCTAGCACAGACATCGGAATGCATGATGTATAGGAATTAAAAGAGGAAAAATCCCGAAGGTAAGAATCTAAGAATCTACAGCACTTGAAGGAAAAAAAAAAAAATCAGAAGCTTTTCTGACACACAAAACTACATATCCATGCATGAAAGTTGGAGATATTTATAATACATAAAAATGAAACTTTTAAGTAACTTCTAGACGAAAACATAGACCAGCCACAAATTGCAATGAAACAAATATAGATAACCATGCAAGCATCAACCTCTCCAGGACTGAATGAAAAGGCTTACAAAGAAAAACATTTAAAGAAATGGTTTAAGCACTCAGTGTCAGAAAGGTCAGTCTTCTAGTTTGCCTGCTGAAAATGAATGAGCTGAAAATGCAACTGTACTCAAAAAAGGGATTTTGCTTTTATGTCTGAGAATAACTTTATAATCAGTACTGGTTTAACTACCTCACTTATGTCTCTCTTTCTGCTATGATATGCAAGACATCAATACCACAATTCCTGCTAACTGAAACTGCTCATTCACAGAAGGAAGGTACAGTTATCAGGACAAAATTAGGCTCAAAAAAGTACTTTGTAAACCAGGACTCTTAACTTAGTAGAGCCTGTATTTCATAACATGTTTGCCAAGGGGCTGCCAGAACATCCTAAGCTACACAGTTTACTCCAAACAATCCTGAAAACTCCCTAGAACAAGTTAAAGCAGTTACACTCCCAACAAAAGCTCATTTTTATTGACCATGTTTTTCAGACCAGGATATCTTGCAGAACTATGTTGAAAGTACCAGCCAAAAGTGCAGAGACTCATCAGATTGAAAGCGTATCAAATTAATCCTAACAACCTGACCATTTTTCAAGAACAAACCAAAGAAAAAAATTCCACTCATTTAATTAGAATAGGATCAAATCTTCAAAAATAATAAGCATAGTGGATCAAAAGAAAAAAAATTAAAACCCCATAGTGTTTAACACAAGCATATGACTACACGACTTCTTTCTGTATGTAAAAATTCTCTCATTCTTCTCTCAGGCTATCTTCCACAAAGATTGAAATGCATGAACCACTGGAAATAAACCTCCTATTATCAGAACAAAGATGATACATTGCAATCATTCTTCTTTATATTAAAAGCAATATATGAGTTTCTTTATATTTTATAAAGCCATTCGGTTTCATTTTACAGTCCTTAATAGAAAAAGTTAGTCTTGAAAGGGAAAAAAAAGCATAGTGCTAAGATGGCAAAGAACGAAGCCATGCCTCACTGAAAGCTGCCACGAGTACCTCTGCCTTTCTTATGGCCTCAATTGGACAATATAATGACCTAAACAACAGAAAACATTCATCCACTTAAAATAGCCTTTCAACTTCTACTCTCTTCTGCGTGTTAAAATTTGGATACATTTGTCCTACTTGCATAAGTAGAGGAATATAAAACTGAAAACTTAATATAACACAAACTCAGGAATACAATGCAAGGTTCACTTTTTTCCTTGTCCACTATTACCCAATCAGAGGAACTAGTTTGGTTCCATGTACTAGTCAGTTCTTAAGGATCAAAAAAATGTATCATGAAGAGCAATTTCATCCGTTTCTTTAAACCCCAACAAGTATTCATCTGGTAATTGTAACATTATAACATTACTTCTATAAATACCCTATCAAAAAACCTGTTCTTTCTTCACCATCTACATGTCTTTCATACTCCCTATCAATTCACCAAGATCTAACTTCAGGTATTTCCTTGTTAGCCAAGGCAAAGCTATAATAAAGATCTTCTAAAATAGCTTTTTTTAAAAGACACAGGCCTGAGTAGCTCTTTTAGGGACATACAGCAACTATTCATAAATCAAAAGGATCTTTTAAATTTTGCTAGCCCTTTCTTCCACCATTGAAAAGATGCAATTTTTCTCCCTTTTTTCCCCCCAAAGCCACATGACCCAGAAAGAAAAGCATAATACTCCTAACAAGGAAAGTTTAGTGAATCAAAGGAGATGCCACTGAAGTACATCACCCACAGATTAAATGAATCTGGAAGGGACTAGAGTCTCAACATATAACAGAGGATCCTGTGCAGGAAGAGGGAATCAACAAGAAAAGAAACCTAACCTGCTGCTCAGTCTTTCTTTTTATGCAGACTTACAAGATACTTCCAAGCAGTTGTTGCAAAATAAAGAATTCCATTGCATTCACTGAGAAGAGTAAAGTAAATTTTCTCTTGTTTCTTCCTTTCTCTTTGGAATCATTAATCCTAATTGTCACAGACCGAAGTCAAACAGGAATGGAAAAATGTCACATGCTTTATTTCAGTTTACACATCAGCAAACTGTATTCTAAAATTTTCGAGTCCATCACATTTAAAAAAGCCCAGGATTGGATCTATTACCTTGTGATTCCTTCTATAAAGAAGTAGTCTATTAAAAATATTAACACTTAGATACATTGTTATCAGCTGATTCCTGTTAGACAACAAGACATTTAATCATTGCCCCAAGAAAGCATTCACAGTTTTGAGAAAGCAGTTTCCAGTCATCAATATTCTGATAAAGGCAGTAGAACAGTACAAAATAAGAAATTGTATGCTGACTGAAGATAGAGTGTTGTCAAGTGAAACACAACATAGAAACTTCATTAATGATACAACTAAATCCAGAAAAATATAAAGAACCTGTAATGTCTACTGCAAATGTAGAGGTGGAATAAGGAAATCTTAGTAAAAAGAAAAACACATATTGCAGCTCTAACTGTGGACAGGAAAACTCTTGTACATTCGAGTACCTGATCAGTCATGCTGAACTATGGCAAAACCAGTTCTGTAGTCATATTACACATCACATCAGACAAGTCTGAGATGATGCACTATAGCAGTACATATGGAGCAGCAAAGTCTGAAACTTAATGAATCCAGGGGGTTGATGGTTTAGTTATCAATATATTTCTTCTCAACAAAACCAAAAAAAAATCACACAAAAATAACCTCAATTAACACATGAAAGTTTCCAACTAGAGATCAAGCACAATTCATCTGTGACTATCAAAATCCAAATACCACAAGAACCAGAGGAAATTTTTTTCCACAACACCTTTCACAGTGAATATCACATACCATGCTTTCTTTGAGTTTTTAAATGCAATAAATAAAGCTGATAATGTCAATGGAAAAACAGCCATGGCAACTTTTCATAGCCATGTCCAGCTCTTACATCATGCAAGCCTTACACTGATACCCTCAGAACACAGACCAGAGCTCTCACAACGCAGTAAAGAGAACAATTCATCCTCAAATCTTCTCTCTTCAACTTCCCAGCCTGTAGGCACATTGCAAGACACAGGAAAAAAACCTGAATACTACTTTAATATTAATTTTGAGTGCAATACTAAGAATATATTCCTCTTTAGAAGAAGGATTTCTTCTTGGGGAAGGAGAAAAAGGGAACCTACACATGATTGTTATCAAAATTGAAGCATATGGAACAATTAAGAAAATCTGAGACTTAAACAGCATTCCTTCCCCATCACAGTGCAACAGTCAAGCCCTCTCACAGGCTCCTCAGTGTCCCTCCTAACACAACAGCTTCTATTATGAGGTGCCCCAGGCAACAAATGAAATGTTTTATCTATTTCTACTTTCGAACAATGTTCATGAGCAACCAGAGTAGGAAGTCACCCATACACCAGAAATACTTCAGCTGAGGTAAATGACAGAGTACACATTCCTCATTTTATGATAAAACTCTGTCTCTTATTTTTACAAGCAACAGCAATGTGGGGAGTCAGAAGTATCACATTTTCTCTTCTACTTTTTCCCCAGGCTATTTTAACTCCTACACTCTAGCAGAGACAGAATGTCAGGACACAGAGACAGCATCAACCTGTTATTAGGACAATTTTTTCCAATTCCTCC